CCCCCAAAAAAAAAAAAAAAAAAAAAAACTTTATTCATTTTTCTTTTTTATTTATTTATTAAATTATATTATTTTCCTCGTTTGAGAAAATCGCCTATCCGATATCAGCAAAAGAGGACTCAAGGGGAAAAAACATAAAAACAAAGCGCACTGGGTAATGTTCCTCTACTCCGCATTCATATTCCGTATTCAACCTTTTTTCTACTCATCCAATGACATCTCGCCACGAGATCAAAGAGGGGTAGTTTCGTCATTTAAGGATAGCGTGGAATTATTCGATTTGTTGGATCACGATAAAATTATGAGGCTGCACAGAGGAAGTTGAAGCCTTGGAAATAATTTAACCGCACCCATTTGTGTCAAATTCCAGGCAAATTCATCCTAAATTCACTCGACATGAAAGTTAAAGTGGATGCGGGCGGTAATCCACTGCGACCCGCCACACTATAATCTTCTAAAGTATCTAATGACGTGGCGAAAATATTATTTTCGTCTTGTATTTTCATCCATTTTTTATTTTTAAAAACCGTACTTATTTTCTCACCTTACATTTTAATTCATATTTGATTAAAAAAATGGTCTTTAGAAAATAATTCTTTTAATTTCCGAAATTTGTCTGAGTTTTTTAAAACACCCTAACCAATAGATAATAAAATAAATTTAAAATGTATATTAACAAATAATTATCTGTCTTAAATATTTTTTTATAAATTTTAAAAATATATTTATATTATCTTATTATTTAATTAATTTCTTTTTTAAAAAAAAACCTCAAATAACTAGTTTTCAAAGAGGAAAATAATCTTATTGATAATTTTAGAAAAATAAAATAAAATTGAATATTCAGCTCGCACGTGGGAAAGGTGGCCACTGGAAGAGAGGTACGTGGTGGAACAGTGTGGGCATGAATGCAGAGGATAAAAAAATGGGGATTTGGGGGAGAACCGGGAACCGGGAAGAACGGTGGAATAGAAAGACGGATAACCGGTTAGGTAAGTAAAGAGGGAAGAAAAGGGAACAGGGAGATCCCGGTGATGGGCGCGCGCGTGCGTGAGGTCGAATAAATCAGAATGTAATGAAGGCTGGCGTCCGCCAATAAGATAGATTCGGGCTCTGGATCTTATCGTACGGAAGCGGACATCAGATGGTAGTCAATTCCGGTTAATTGACGAGTCAAATCACAAAGATTGGGAAAATAAATTAAGTATATTATTTTTAAAAAAATAAAAATTAATTAGTTTCCCTTTATAAAATTATAAATAACACCAAAAAAAAAAATCTAGTATCAATTAAATTATTATTTAATATTTGATGCAATTTATTAAAAAAATACAACAATTACGTACCTTATATTATAAAAAAATTAAAAATAAATTGACTAAATTTGAATAATTTTAGTAGGTTAATTAAAATAAAATAACATAATATTTTTCATGTATTTATTAATTTATAAGGAAGCTTGGAAAAAAAAGGGAAAAAGTTGAGTAATGTGGGCTATTATGGGAGTTGACCAAAAATAATAAAGTTGGAAGGAGGGGAAATTATAGGGTACGGCGCGGTTGTAGGGGAAGAATGGTGTGAGTAAAAATGAGGAGGTGGGGCCCAGGTGGTGGGACCAACTCCAGATTTTGCAGTTAAGACGTGGAAGAACGAAGAAGAAAATAATTATAAATTATTTATTTATTTTATTTATTTTATTTATTTTATTTATTTTAATAATTAAAATCTAGGAACGAAGGGAACAATCACGTGCCTTTCAAACACAAAAACAAAGTGGATAAGGACAACGTTGGACTCGACCTTCCTGAGTGTCCTGCCATTTCACACCCGACCCGACCCGACTCGGCTCGACCCTTCTTTTTTTTTTAATTTAATTTTATTGCTTTTATTGTGGTAGTATTGGAAATTCAAATTTTAACATTTTCTTAATAATAATAAATGCGTGTTTAATCAAATTTAACTTTCTGGGTAATTTTAATTTTATTATTTATAATTATTGGCATGAAAAAAATACAAATTTTTTAAATTAATATATTTAAGGAACTCAATTTTTTAATATTAAAATTGATATAAAGGTGACGAAAAACTGCCAAAAATAATAATAATAAAATAATTTAAACTGTAAAGGGAGAAATAAAAGAAGGAAAAAGAAAAAGGAGGGGTAAAATTGAAATATTGTTTTCATATTTTCCTAAAAAGAAGTGAAAAAAGAAAGCATTTTTAAACTATAATTTAAATTTTTATTAATTTTAAAACAGGCTTTCAATTTATTAAAAAATATGGTAGATTGAGAAGAAGAGAAAATAGAAAAATAATTAATTTTCTTTAAAAATTATAAAAAAAAAAAAAAAAAAGTTTATAAAACGGTGGGGCCCACAGAAGTGTGTGTATGTTTTTTCATTGAGTGGTGGGGCCAAGGGAGACACGTGGCAAATAATGGTTGCGTCGACGGCTACAATCAGAAGATTATTTTTGTGTGTTTGGTGGTGGAATTATTAATAATTAAAGAGGGTTATGTTATTGGAGTGAAAATGAAAGGATAAGCAAATAATAATAATAATAAATAAAACGGTTGACCATTTTACCCATGACTGTAATTTTGAGTTAAATTTTATTCAGAAAAAATCAAATTTTGATTTGCTTTAACTTTATTTTATTCACTTTATATTGATTTTGTTTTTAATTTATGTTTTTTTTAATTGTAATTAAAAAAATTATAAAAAATAAAAATTAAATATCTAATTTTTTTATTTTTTTTATTTATATAATATTAATTTGATTTGGTTGATTATCTGTTTAGGAATGTTATGAAAACCTTAGCAAGTTTTTCAAATGAAAAAAAAAAATTAAATTTTTATTTTTATTTTTAAAATTTAACTAACAATTCAAATATTTAATTAGAATATATAAAAATTATTATAAATAAATGGTGAGAAAGTGAAAATAGTGCTTAAGACTTAATTTTTAAAAATAAAAAATTAAATAGTTTCTTTTTTTTTTTTAATTTTATGTTTTTATTTGTTTTAGATGATTATATTTTTGTTGGAGAGATTTTAATTTTGTAGATGAAATATATCTTTAATAAAAAAAAAAGTACCTTATCCATGGAACAAACGTCCAATGTCCATGCGTTGGCAAAGGAATGAACGAGTGCTCGACTTGACGTTCACTTGTTTTAGGTATTTTTTTAGTATACGTAGTGAGTGAGAGAAGTGAAGAGTAAGAGGAAACATACGAGGAGAAAAGGAAAGAAGAAGAAAGAACAAGAGGAAAGACGGTCTATGAAGATAGTCTTTCACTTTGAGAAGCAGTTTAAGATAAATAGGTAGCATAGTCACGTTGCTGAGAATGTCGGGAATCTCGAAACTATCAATGTTGAATCCAAATTTCAAATTCTAGTTTAAATATTGAGTATCAAACGTTACAAAGACAAGTTTTTTCTCTTGTTTTTTTTTTCAATTTTATTTTTCACGTTTTGTTCATTTCAAATGCACAATAACATCGATCTCTACAAATTACCTAACAATAATTCTCAATAACAATTTTAGAAATGAAAAACACAAACGTTGTATTAATCTTCTAGAACAAATCGTTTAGTGTTCTTAAATATTTTAATTCCTATTATATTATTATTAGACTCTTCTTCCTACCATATAGACATATGTATGTAATTGGATCATATTGAATGGCCTCCATGTTTGGTAGATTTGCTTCAATTTCAATTTTTCTTAATTTTGAATCTCATTGATTTCTTTTTCCATGTTGTTTTTTTTTGGCCCTTTCCTTATTTTGATTTTCAAACTTTTGCTTCATTTTCAAACTATAATGGAAGATCAGGCCGATTTGAAGCTAGACCTAAAAAGGTTTATTCCTACCATTTATGCGGAATTTGTAAGTCTCTTTTTTCTATTATTTTTAATTTTAAGAAAAACTTAAATATAAACACTATTTACGTGCGATCCCATATCAGTTGGAGAGAGGAACAAAATATTCTTGTAAAGGTGTGAAAACTTCTTCCTATTAGACGTGTTGTAAAACTATGAAGTTGATGCCGGTACGTAACGAGTCAAAGCGAACATATCTACTAGCAGTGGGATTTGGCTGTTATAAATAATATCAGAGGCAGACACCGAGCGACGTGCTAGCAAGAACACTGGCTCCCAAAGGGTTGGATTGTGAGATCCCACATCAATTAGAGAGGGGAACGAAGCATTCCTTATAATGGTGTGAAAACCTCTCCCTAGTAGATGCATTTTAAAACTGTGAGGCTGACTACGTAACAAATCAAAATAGACAATATCTACTAATAATGGACATAAGCCGTTATAACCTAAGAGTGATGCGATGAAAATAATGTTGTCTAATCATAAAAATGACACAAAATTTCATATAAATTTTTTAAAAATTATTAATAAAAGTGTGCATCTAACCACTTTATCAAATTTTAAGTTTAGTTTGATGTATATTGTTGTTCATAAGTAGTAATACTTTATAAATTAGTCAGACAAAGCATGCTGAATATTGTAGGGCGGAATGACAAAGATTGATGCATCTATGGCCACAAATTATAAATTAATCAAACAATTTGAATGACCCAATCAATATTATAGGTAATTATAATCATAACCAATTTGAATTTTGTGTATTTCGAATATGAAATTTCATTGAAACGAGGGGTAGGGTTAACGACAAAAAATATAAGCATATCATAGAATATCATGTTCAATAGAATGCGTCTAAAATAAATTACGTAATATTAGACTTGAATGAGTACGACTTTCTATGTGTGAATAAATTAATTATAAAGCCTAAATTTGTTTATATTCATAAGTTGGTTCGTAAAAATTAATGGTGAGTTCTATAAACATGTAAGTTTTTCTTCTTTTTCGATTTCTATCCCTACTAACCTTGGCCAGAACTACGTGTGCAAATTTCCCTAGAAAAAAAGTTACTGTCTGGCATGAGCTTTAACCATTGAGAGAGCTTCCAACTCTTTCAGTCATCCTAGAGAAGATCATCTTAAAAATCCGGGCTAGAACGTTTTTCCCCTCAATTTGAAAGATAGTTCTTGCCAAGTAAGTTTGGGAGAGTGGAAAGATTTCCTCTAATCTCAGGATGGATTGATGGTATGTATTTTATGTCAGTAGCGTTGTACTCATTATAAAAAGTCCAATATTTACTATAAAGAGTTCTCATAGATTCTTGGAGCATGGTGTAACAGCCGGGCTTGAGCTGTTACTCCTTGGCCCCGGGTACAGGCATGGTTGAGTTGGATAACTTGGCCTAGTGTAGAGGTCAGTTGGCTGTGTCATAGACGATTGAACATGCACGCATAAGCGACATGTGTGGTCGAACAAGCTTGGATTCCGCACAAGCAATGCTCAATTGACAAAGACAAATTTCGCCTAAGGTCCAACAAAGTCACAAAATCGGGCGAAAAATGTAGATGGAGTTTGAGTTCCCCTTAAGGCTGGTCGTGAGCGTGTCAAGATCACGACGCCGCATGGTTGAAAAAGTACAACCGTGACACATGGTTTTCCAAAATCTCGAATCAAAAGATTATTTTAAAATTTCTCTCCTCCTTCCTGGGAGGGCCTTGAAAGTGATTATTAAAAATATCTTACAAGTTAGCAACCGGTTCCAATGGGCTGAACTCTAGAGAGGTAGCACAATAATCCATCCCCAGGACCCCAGTCAGTATCACTACATGCATAAGCAACCGCATAAACTTAATAAATGACTATAAAATTCCTAATTTGAGAAAGCAGCTCCAGGGTTTTTCAGGGTAAAACAATGCATTGAACCCAACTTTCAAGTAATCATCAGACTTTCAAGTTTCAAGTATAGAGAGGGAAACATAACCTTTCAGATGCATACCAGATCTTTCTCATTCTTGTTTAAAGAATTTGAGAGAAAAACTCCTCCAGATCATTTGCGGCCGCTCCAAGTTTTTGAGAAAAAACTGCATCTTTCACATCGATGTTGTTCGTATATACATCGGCCGCCTTGATCTCCATGTACTCATACAGGTTGTGAATAGTTCCATCTGATATCCAGGACAGTACATGAGGAAACATCAAAAGAATATCGTCGTCAACCTTGAGTTCAAACAAGTAAAGCCAAGGACATTCAATAGATATTCTATCTAGAAACATTTTAGATTTCAAACTTCAAAACCGGTTTTGAACAATAAACTAAAAATCAAAATTAATAGTTTCTTCCATGTGGGATCTCACTTTGATTAGGGAGAAGAACGATACATTCTTTGTAAGAATGTGGAAACCTCTCCCTAGCAGACGCGTTTTAAGAACCTCGAAAACTTTGAGGGAAAGCTCAAAAGGGAAAGCCTAAAGAGGACAATACTGCTAGTGGTGGGCTTGGACCGTTACAAATGGTATCAAAGCCAGATACCGGGCGATGTGCCAGCAAGGAGGCTAAGCCCCAAAGGGGGGTGGACATGAAATGGTGTGCCAACAAGGACGCTGGCCCCAAAGGGGGTGGATTGAGGGGTCCCACATCAATTGGAGAAGGGAATGAGTGTCAATGGGGATGCTGGACCCTAAAGGGGGTGGATTGTGAGATCTCACATCAGTTGGGGAGGAGAATGAAACATTCTTTATAAGGGTGTGGAAACCTTTCCCTAGCAATCGCGTTTAGAAACCTTGAGGGGAAACCCAAAAGGGAAAGCCTAAATAGGACAATGCCTGCTAGCAATGGGTTTGGGCCGTTACAGGTAACTCTCCCTCGCTTGAAAAAAAAAAAAAAGGCATTTCTCCAAGAGGAGAGACATTTTTTAAACTTTTCCGGGACCAAGGCCAAATGTTCACCTCACAACCCAAGAGAGACGCCTAAGAAGACAGCTTAGAGAGTTCACAATTAATAGACAGGTTGGATGACATAGCCACAATCATCATGTAAACCAATAGTAAGCTTTCTAGTTCCTAAAACTCCTATCAAATATGGTAGGGAAGCCTAGTCTAGAAATTGATCCACTTAAGACAAATAAGTGACAAAGCAAAGCATGCAACCATGGTGTTTTATTCAACACGTAATTTTCCAGAATCGTTAATGCCCAATTTAAGAGTTCTCAAGTTTTTCAACACAGTTCTTCGCCAAAAAATAATAAAATAAACAAACAAATAAATAAAAATGAAACTCAGAAGCAATCACCAACCAGTTTATCATCAAAACAAACAATGCATCAACGGCGTACATGAACATGATATTTGATTACCCATTAGGGGCAGGCATTTACCTTCAGCAACAATGGCTTCATAGTCAGGGGGTTTAGCAATCCAATTTCCATGGGAATCTTTCATGTGCCTTCTATCAGATGCGAAGTGACGAAAAAATATTGGAGCATGGATGATTCTGAAAAGCCTGTCCCCAGGAATAGCAGCTTTTGATTAAAAATTTGATCAACATGAGTCAAGCTTGAGTTACACTTTTAAGAACACATAGTCCCAAATGTTTTTCAACCAATAAAATGCAACGACCTGATAATTGTGACGTATGCATTAGACAAAAAAAAAGTTGTAGCTGACGGGCTTTACCTTTGATACTCGGGGGAGATTTGAAACGATGGCCTGATAGCTTGCGACACGTAGCTGCCCAGAGGGATAGGTAAAGGAAGAGTGGAGTCTAAATCCCACACTATAAAAGGAAATTCACCTTCTGTTTTTCTCTGTCAATTGAAATGAGCTCAACATCTCAAAAGTAGAAAACAATAAAAGCTTGCAACAATGATCAAAATAAAGATCTGATGCAACTTGCTGAGTAATTACGACTCGAACAACTATTATTAAAGCAGGATAGACTATCTTACCTGAACGCAAATCACATGGTAATCCCACAAAACAAGACCATCTTCTCTTTTGCTGGCTTTTTGATGCCAAAGGGGAATCTAAACAATTTTTTTGGGGGAGTGGGAGGAGTTAGAATTATAATTTGTTAACAAGGATTTCACTCAGGGAAAGAGGAATTTTAACAAAATTTTATCTAACCTGAACAAAATGATCAATACCGGGCTTAAGAGTAATCTTGTTCCAGAGCAAATACTTCATTTGCAATAAGAAACAAGACAACAATTTCATTGATAAAATAAAATGAAAAGAGAAACAAGAGAAGCCTTTCAGAAACCCGTAGGGCAAAAGATTAAAAATCACATCCAAGTGAGAGCTACACAAGAGACTGTGTAGTTACAAAAATGAATTAGAAGGGGAACTCCAACAGGAAACAATGAAAACTACGAGGTGCCAAATGTTTTTAACCGTCTTCTACTATTCTAAACAGCTTTCTGTTTCTTTAAAAGCGTACGCTAAGAGAACATGAATACTGTAACCGCCCAAGCCCAACACTAGCAGATATTATCCGACTTGGCCCGTTACGTATCGTCATCAGCCTCACAGTTTTAAAACGCTATGCTAGGGAGAGGTTTCCACACCCTTATAAGGAATGCTTCGTTCCTCTCTTCAACCATGTGGGATCTCACAATCTACTTCCCTTGGGGCCCAATGTCCTCGCTAGCACACCGTTCGATGTCTGACTCTAATACCATTGTAACAGCCCAAGCTCGCCACTAACAGATATTATCCGCTTTGGCCCATTGCATATCGCTGTCAGCCTCACAGTTTTAAAAAGCGTACGCTAGGGAGAGGTTTCTACACCCTTATAAGGCATGCTTCGTTCCCCTCTCCAACCAATGTAGGATCTCACAATCCCTTGGGGGGCCAGCGTCCTCGCTAGCACACCATTCGGTGCTCGACTCTGATACCATCTGTAACAGCCCAAGCTCACTGCCAGCAAATATTGTCCGCTTTGGCCCATTACGTATCGCCGTCGACCTCACGATTTTAAAACGTGTCTATTAGGGAGAGGTTTCCACACTCTTATAAAGAATGTTTCGTTCCTCCTCTCCAACCAATATGAGATCTCACAATATCACTATTAAACCTAGGGCTACCAATGGCCAAAAATGATACTTCGAATAGCAATAAGAAATGCCTAGAGTCATTTAGCAGAACTGATTCATCCTCAGAAATGGCCAAATCACTAGAGAAAGAATAACATACGTGCCTGCTTCTTCTCATTAGAAATGAAAACAACAAAAAGATCAGCTCCCGTTGCATCATCCATTCTGTTTGTACATAATTTCTTGCATAGAAAATATACATTCTCCTCACTGCAAAATCGAAAGCACGAAACACTTAATTACACTTCCTTTTCGTCAATGAATTAGCGCTATGAGGTCAAAAACCTAGAATCGAGCCCACAATAAATCCTCTTCAGCATTTTAGAAACACGAATTCAAGACTGTATTATAAGTATGAATCTCCATTATTAATAAATATACCCTATCCGATTCCGGATAAATTTTCGCAGCATATCGTGAGAAGAACCTCATGAAGATATTAACAAAAAAAATGTACAAGAACAGAGAAACAATGATAAAATAGAGAATAATTCACACGAAGGATTCAGCAGATGAACGAAAAGGATCGTCGATTGATTACCAGTAAAAAGGCGTATGGCAGAACTGAGAAACGTCCAAATCAATCGATTCTACAGTTGATAGTGTGGAAGCCATGGCTCAATCGGCTAGAGCCTGAATCCCTTGGGAAAACGAAGTTCTTTCAGAAATCAGTTCCCATTTTCGAGCGAGATTGCTTTCGAGCAAACCCATTTTTCTATAAGCACTTCCAATAAAAACGCTGATGAGTGATCCTTACAAGACCTTCTCATATTGTTTTAGTCCATTACGTATAGTCGTCAACTTTATAGTTTTAAAACGGTCTATAAAGGAGTTTAATCTTACTCCGATCAATACCTCGCACCGCTCGGTGTCTGGCTCTTATACCATTTGTAACAACTCAAGCCACCGCTAGTAAATATTGTCCGCTTTAACTCGTTATGCATCATCGTTAGCCTCACAATTTAAAAAACGTGTCTATTAAGAAGAGGTTTCCACACTTTTATCGCAAGTCATGACAATATATATACTCACGGCCAAATATTTTTCTATGTCTACTCAGTACAATAAATATGTCTTTCTATGATACCATATCGAGACCAAATTGAAGAGAGGATAATAAAAAGTCATAAACGACTAGAGGCACGTTTTCTTTTTTATTATAAATATTTAATGATATTTTTTTAACCGTGCAGAAAGATATTTGTTAAAGCGATTTTTTCTTATTATTTCAGTAATTTAATTCAAGAAAATTATTTTAATCGTATTGAAAGCAAAATAAGAGGATAGGTCTCTATTATTTCTATTAGGCTTCGATGATCATTATTTTCAATGATGTAAATTTGATGTGGTTAGAAGTACTTATTTTGAGAAGACAAAAACTCGAGTACACGTGCCAAAAAGTACTGAGAGGATACAAGCTGATTACTTTTTGATTTAGGACATATGCACGTTGCATTAAAAAGGCTGATGCTCGAGCTAGGTATATAACATGTTATTATGATCGTTAATATATTAAATATACGACCACTTTCACGGTTAATGTTATAACTTTTAGTAGTAATTTGGTAGGTAACGTTTTCAGACACTGTCGATAAAAATTTGCTTAGTGAGTACTACGTTTTCGATCCCGTAATACCTCAATTTTTATTGTCTGCTTTTGGCCTGTTATATATCGTTGTTAGCTCCACAATTTTAAAACTGTCTACTAAAGAGAAGTTTTCACACCCTTCTAAGGAATGTTTCGTTCTGTTCTCCAACCAACGTAGGATCTCACGTATCCTAATCTCTTTTGGTTGCTCTTAGATTGGAAAAAACTTATTTGCAATTTTTTATGTTCGGTATGAGTTAGTTTCATGAGCGAAATAGAACCTTGTCTAAGATTCAACGAAGCCGAAAGACGAACGAAAAAAAGTATAACGAGATTCGGGTTTCTCTTAAAATCGATCATTATCGTGTCAAAACCATAATGCCCCACGAACCAAGAACTTGCAAAACTAGCTTGAGGTTCATACCATTTGGATAAGGTGTTCTTGTCAAAGTTCGTCATTTCAATCTTAATTTCTAAGAAATTTCATACCCAACTCATCCAATCGCTTGGCGGAATTACCAAACACGACAGAATCGGAAGAGCCATCGAAGAAAAAACAGGGCCCCAATTGGGCGGTGCCATCGTCAACGGATCCCTTCCCTTAAATAACGATTTTCAATTCCATCTCGTCTCCGTGTGTTTCCGTTTTCTTGTTCCACTGTAATTCGAGCGACCCAACCAAACTTTGATTGCTCTCTTTCTCGCCCTGAATTGTTATCTCAAAAGCCTGAAAAGTTGAATTGAGAGAGAGAGAGAGAGAAGAAAAATTAGACACATACAGCAATAATTCCCACTTTTCTTTTTCCAACTATCTTCTATATCATTCTTTATTGCCAGCTCTGCGGCCCCGTCTTCTCCCATTCCGCTTTCTTGCGTTTCTTACTCACTCCTCTCTCCTCCACCCTTTGTTTCCAGAGGGTGTGGGAGATCTCCGTGCAGGTCAGCTGAATCAATTCGATTGGGCTTTGTTTATCGCTGATCTCGTCTTTAATCGCTAACCCCATGTGATTGTTCTTTTGATCTGGGTGTTTCTTCGTTTTGTTTTTGATTTTTTCATTCTGGGTTTTGTTTGTTTGTTCTTGTTGTGTTCATATCTGGTTCAGATGCCATCGAAGCTTTGATCTGATTGGGACATGCCACTTTGTGGTTTATTGTTGATCCTTTTATTGGTGATCTATAAATGTTTTGGACTTGTTCTATCTCATTTGTATGCGTTCTTACTGTGTACTTGAAGTTTGATATTGTAGTTCATCCATTATTTCGAGGAGAATCTAGCAACTTGGATATGGGTAATTGTTAGGCTAAGCAAATCTCCCAATTTAGAATTGATATCAATGCTTGATTACAGCAGCCGATATCGTCCAGTGCTAACAAAACAATGAGATTTGTTCTCTGGATTGTTCTTCCACATCTGAGATTTGGACTACAGCAGCTGACTTAATCTTAAAGAGCATACTGATTATAATTTTGAGGGTGGAAGAAGAATGCATTGTTCTTGGTAAAAAAACATGGATTGTCTCTTGTCAGAAGTTTTAAGGGAGTACTTTTGTCATTCATGTCTCCTAAACGATGTTTGCATCGGCATCGAGAAACTGAAATAGAAGGGCATCCTTGCTCATGGAATTCTCTAATGTGTGGTTATGTGGTGAAGATCAGTGACTGAACTTACATTGCCATGCTCAAAGGATTCTGTGAGATGAAGATCTAAGATGTTTGTTTGAGTGGCGATGTAAGGTCTAGCAAAGGGGAAAAATGCAAGAAAATACATTAAGAAATAGCTCATATTGTTTTGCTTGCATTGAATTTTATAAGTCTGTTCACGTATCTTTTATTTTCTTGTTTTCCACTGATTTATCACCATTGTACTCTGTTTGACACCCCTGTTTTCTCTCTTCTTGCAGTGAATTCTTGTGGCATATCCAGAGTTCAGATTCAGTAATTTAAAATCTGTCAGTTTCTCTTGAAACTAAAGAGACAGTAGCAGAGAAATATTCTCCAATGTCTAGCTCTGCCAAAGCCTTGGATCCTGCATTTCAGGCAGTTGGACAAAGAGTGTATCCTTAGAAAACTTCGAAACTTGTTCGTCTGGAAAATAATGTTCTGTAATTCATTCGAGATTAGAGCTGTATACTTGTCGTGTTATTTGGATACTAATAATATGGAAGTGCGATTCGATAGAATATTTGACTGTAGTTTCTTGTATGTGATGGATTATATTTAGAGCATGTCTCAGAAGTTTTAGATGTTGAACTTAATTTCCTTTAGTGGAACAGAAATCTGGCGAATTGAGAACTTTCAGCCTGTTCCGTTGCCAAAGTCGGACCATGGGAAATTTTACATGGGGGATAGTTACATAATACTGCAGGCATTTCATTCTAGTTCTTCTCGTCTTTAATGCTTGCGAATCTTGTGATATGTCTTTGTTATTGAACTAGATCTTTACTTTTTATGCAGACATCTCAGGGCAAAGGTGGTTCTTACCTCTATGATATACACTTTTGGATTGGAAGAGATACTAGTCAGGTATCATCTCCTTAATTCATCTTCCTCTTTTCCTCATTGAGAACTGAAAGGTGAATTTTGTTTTATTAGGACTTGATTGTCTTTGGCTTTTGTGTTAGGATGAAGCAGGAACTGCAGCTATTAAAACTGTGGAGCTTGATGCGTCTCTTGGAGGACGTGCAGTACAACACAGAGAAATTCAAGGCCACGAATCAGAAAAATTCTTGTCATACTTCAAACCTTGTATCATACCATTGGAGGGAGGTGTCGCATCTGGATTTAAGAAACCCGAGGAAGAACAATTTGAAACACGATTGTATGTCTGTAGAGGAAAGCGAGTTATCCGAATGAAACAGGCACTTGATTTTTCTTTCCAGGAGTTTGTATATTCAACAGCGTTTCTTCCAGTGACATGGAGTTTTGATGTTTACTTTTGCATTTGGCTATCCAGGTTCCCTTTGCTCGTTCATCACTAAATCATGATGATGTGTTCATCTTGGACACCGAGAGCAAGATATTTCAGTTCAATGGTGCAAACTCTAATATCCAGGAGAGGGCAAAAGCTTTGGAAGTGGTTCAATTCTTGAAGGATAAAAATCACGAGGGGAAGTGCGATGTTGCAATTGTTGGTAGGAATAGAATATATACTAATGTTTTTTGACCATCCCCATGTTTTATAGTCCATCCGTGCCCCGTTCAATTATGTTTTTTATTCATGGTTGATGATTTCCATTTGCAATACATTGAGTTAAGCATTATTTTAAACATACTAGACGACGGGAAGTTGGATACAGAGTCGGACTCTGGTGAGTTTTGGGTCCTATTTGGTGGCTTTGCACCTATTGGGAAGAAAATTGCTAGTGAAGACGACATAATTCCAGAATCTACTCCTGCTAAGCTTCACAGGTTTGTGTTGGCATTACCTGATTTTAGTTTAAGAAAATTTATGGAATTTTCGTGTGGCAAACGATTTAGAATGGATAATGACTCCTAGCCTAATACAGTTCAGACCGAAATTTATGAGCCTATTTTGATATTCACAAGCAAATGAACTCACATGAGAAAGTGTTCCTCCATTTTGAAAATTTGCTCTTGTTTTGTTTAAGAATTTTTTTTGAAGAAGCATATAAGATCATTGGAATTTAAAGTTTTCTGTGATTAATGATATTTTCTTAACTTTGGCATTTGAACCTCACTCCTGGAAGCACATATTTCTAATTTTTGTCGATTTTTTTTAGCGTTGATGGTGGTGAAGTAAAAGTTGTTGATGGCGAACTATCGAAGTCCCTGTTGGAAAATAATAAGTGTTATCTGCTGGACTGCGGTGCTGAAGTATTTGTCTGGGTTGGAAGAGTGACACAAGTAGAGGAGCGAAAAGCAGCAATTCAAGTAGCCGAGGTAAGCCCCCGTGCCAAAATTTCTACTAATTAACGCTATGCACGAGATTTATCAAAACAATACTTTATATTCAGGAATTTATTGCCAGCCAGAATAGGCCAAAGGCAACTCGTGTTACTCGGGTTATACAAGGTTATGAAACACATTCTTTTAAGTCCAACTTTGAGTCCTGGCCAGTTGGATCAGCGACTACCGGTGCTGAGGAAGGAAGGGGAAAAGTAGCTGGTAGTTATC